CTACGATAACGAACATCGACGAAATAATAACATCACGGACAAAAAAATAATCAACTCGAGGCTTGCTACCCGACTGGATTGAGATAGATAGCCAATAACCGACACAATGGCAGACAGAATGATGCTTCCATGACGGTTCCTCCAATTTGCACTGACCATGGGAAATGACATACGCAATCGCTGTCGATTGGCGACCTATGAGTCCACAATAGGCGTATCGGGTAAGCACGATCGGCATCGAGGCAAATCTGCGGTCTGTATGCGAATGCGGTAAACCGCAGCTTTAGCGTTACACGAAATCAAGCGAAATCGACGACCCTAAAATAAGACTGTGAGAAATTCTGTCGAACGATACGCTCATACACTTTGGGGAACTTCGACATAACTCAATATAGGTATTCACTCTGTGGTAGAGGACTCTATCCGTCTGGCGCTAAAGATTCTATCCCTCTGGGGCTGGGGGTGAGAAGGTAAAGCGTATTGCCGTAAGCGGGAAATTGCATGTAATAAAGCGAGGTATGAAACGTAAACTGTGAGATCTTTTCCTCGTGACAAGTCCCATACACCCCTTTGAAAGAGACATATGTTTTTATCCGCGACTCGCCACATACGCGTATAGTCCAAGGGTTTTTTTATACACAACTTCATGAAGTGCTTATCTCTGTATTGAGGTCTCTTTTAAACCAAATGACTGTGTAACTGAAATGGCGTCCGCCATAACAAATGCGCGCAGAGATGAGGTCTCCGAACTATTTATCACTAGGGACTAATTATATAGTAATCAGCCTTTTACAAAACAAAGTATGGGATAGGTCAGCTCGCTAATGATGCTCCATAGCAGTATCAAGGACGTCGTAGGCCGAACACCATGCATACGAACTTCTCTATTTATGCCTATATCTATATTGTCTAGTAATTATTAAGCTGCGAATCTGCCATAAGTTAATTTCATAGTGGGCGAGAAGTAGACTTGTCAAAGTCACAGACCGAACAATCAAGTGATGGCTACGTGAGCTGCTGATACCCTTGACTAATCTAGGCTTAGAGCTATTACAGATTGGAAATATGCGGTAGTGTAGATAAACCGTTCTCACACGGTTCGAAACTGTGCAGTCAGCTAGCTTTTCGCCATCCACATTGTCATGCCACAGGATGATACGATTCGTCAAAGTACGAGTAAATGAACTTTATATATCGACAAAAGTGGTTACCGTCAGGGGTCAAGTGATCTGAGCAGCGACATGCTGCGTACAAAAAGGCTGATTCATTGTAATCGTGAAAGCTGTGAGAATAGGAAGATAGCAGTCTACGATCTAAAGTGAGTATTCGAGCCACTGTTACTACACTGTGGCGTATGCTGTGTGCACAGACTTCATAAATCGTACGCAAGAAATCAATGTCTGAAGATAATTAACGTATAAGTGACATATTCAACTAACACCGTCCGGCGGCGTCTAAAAAGGGTTACCCACCGTTGGAAAACGATCCGACAGCGGCGTCTACTCAGAGGAACCTGATAACCAGTATTCAACGAGTCTGAATAACACCTGAAGAGGATCTCAACAAATTGAGACAATGAGCTACTTTTTCATTTCAATGTCGGCAACAAACAAACCTCTGCTAGAGAGCTATCTATTATTGTTTTTCTTTTCTTGTGATCAGTTTCTAGAAGAAATAACGTATGTCGTGCCAATCTCACGACGTACTTGACTTCTCTCCCATGCAATGAAGGCGAGTCGTCATGATTTTTGTAGCCGGACCATTTAATAAGCTGCAATTAAGCTCAGTCAAAACGAGGCTCCGCTGGACGTCGAACGAACGAACGAGCAAGCGAACGGTCAAGTGCATCCAAACGTTTCGCTTAGTTAGCTTGTCAAATACTAGTGCCCTTGGTCCCGTATTTAAGATTACCACTGCTCTCGACCAAAGTTTCGTTTTCGTCCTAGGTTTTTCGTTCTGTAAACGTCGAGGAGACAGGGAGCTGGCTTGGAAAGTCCCACCGTTTTGGGGCCGCTTTGATTGAGTAGCAATGAAAAACTCAATCATTACGGTAACATGCCTCAAGAAGAACCGTTAGCATTCGGGTGCAATTTAACTAGTTACATTTGTACTAGGTTAGCAATATCAATAGCGTATATTAATACATGTAATTAGCTACTATTCTATGACGACTTACGACCTAACCGTTAGGAACAAAAGCTCTGCGCTTTGAATGGACTTTATTAACAATAACTTTTCGCGTTGGACAAGAGATAAGATAAAGGCAAAATGGAGGCACTTCCATTGCAGGCCATCAGCCGACCGTACGCCTCAGTAACCTGCGTAGCTTCTGTCATCGAACATCTTCAAACGCAGAAATTCACAAACCGACCAGTTTTCTCTATCTAGAAGGCTCTTATCCAGCTAGTATGGCACACAATGTGCCCTGTTTCCACCGCTTTTAAGGTTTACTCATACGCAATAATAATAATTAGTGGTTGGTCCCGACTTCATTTACTTTGATATATTCCGGATATGTTTGCACTTATCTGCATAAGCGAGGCGGACAGAGTGGAGTCGACAAGCTCAGACTGTCGAACGATACTTCTAACGTTCGTTAGCCTTAGATTAGATCAGACTAAACTAACTCAAGGGTCCTGTCACGCGCGAAAAGTGGCATGAGGTGCCTCCTCAATAGGGAAGTCTACCAGTTTCTCCAACAAGCGCCGAACTCAGCGCGGCAGGATAGTTCCACCACATGCGACAGTTTCAGACTCGAAAAAAGTATGTCAGTGTCCACCGTGATAGCAATGGCCGTAGCTACTAATCAACTCAATGCCACACATGGCTAACACAAACACTAATAGTCAATAGCTTTAAGGACCTGAGAAGACATTTCTAATAACTTCGATGTCCTGGGGAAATGAAACACCAACACAGACCAGGGGCACATGGACGGCTCCGTCGCATGTTTTCCAGCCTGTTGAAACACCTTCGTGTGATCTTCTTAATCAGACTGTAAATAGATCAAGCTCCATGTGTTAAGTGTATATGTGAAAACGAGCCCTAAGATCCATTCTCCGTATTGCACACCATACGGCTGCACAATGGGTGCCCCTGTATTCGCTTCTGTCAACCGCCGATTTTCGTATCATCACATTTTGCTGTTCATTTCACAAACTACATTCAGATCGTGGGTGAATGACAGTTCTAACTGAACACGCTGAAACTAGCTAGACGCCAATGCGAGGCCGGAAAAGCGATACAAGGACCCGGCGAAGGTGATCGACAAGGAAGAGTAGTTAGCCACTGTTTCTCAACGTATAACGAACAGCAAACAAACGCACTAGGCGGAATCACGATTGATAGTTCCCGGAATAAGAAAATAGTTAGCTTGAGTCGATACCCACGCTTGCCTGGCTGCCTTCTTTCTTGGGCCTGCAAGACCATCAGCTCCTATATTGCCATATACACACACATGCCAAAGAAACGGGGCCAGTATGTTGGTTTTAAGACGGGTTAATGGGCACGCATACATGGACCCATAAATCTATCCATCTAAAGGTATCGGTGAAACTCGTATATGGACATATATATGTGTATATGGTGTATCATTCTAAGTTGAACTGTGTACGCGGGATATAGTTTGCTGTACGTTTACGTCATTCCTGCCATTAGCAAAAAGACATAATCCAAGTGTAATTTACATATATGTCCATTATCACCATCGCCTTCCGTGTTTATCTCTGCCAGTACAGGCCAATTAGTTATCAGTGCATATATGCTCTTATGCTGGCGCAAACAAGGTGCCTCGGAAATTGCATCTAAGTCTTCTTAGATAATACGTGTATGTACGCTAACTTTGAAAGGCAGTATTGTCAGTAAATCAGAAATTAGTCATTAATTTAGCGACCCAGCTCAATTGTTCCCTGCATACCTACTTGAAATTTTCGTGGGTCGAAAATCAATAAAACGAAATATTCGCAATAATATTACGACGGCAGAGTATGGATAGCGCCCCTTTGTCAGCGCGGTTTTATTTTAATAAGCATGCCGCCAGGCTGGGTCAAATGTTAGAGCTGGTAAAAATTGTTACCAGAAATTATTAACTAGGAAAATGAGGAACTAAGGAAAATAGGGAATTGTTGAGGTTAATAGGTTGTTGCCTTGTCTTTTCATAGGTGTGTTAGCGGAACTCAGATCAGCCCACCAAGACCGGCCCTAGATGAACTTTCAGTAGGACGCAAGTGCTTAATGTCATACCTGAAAGAGGTGATTCCAAAGGTTTGTTGACATAGGGTGGATAGGTGATGGTATCAAAAAAAAAAAAGGCGATAATGTAACATCCAATTATTATTTCGTCCCTAGAACGATGTCAGTGCAAAAATTTCCTGAATAGATTGCCTGTCTTTTTTTCTCTACCGGGAGATTGATGACTGCACAAGCGACAATATACTAACTCGATGAATCAATACTTAAAAGTATTTAATCTTTGCATGTTAAGCCATCTTTCAAGAGCTGGGCTTCAAGCAGAACGACTCGAGGCAGATCAACGGTCGAAGCAACGGTTAATCAGTCTTCGTAGTGACAACGCTTACTGGTTTGTTGGCTTCGTCTATCGGCCAGGGCACGCCCGTTAGCAAACAGTAACCTTTAGCTAGTAAGAAAACGCTGTTGCTATATAGAACCGTTCTCTGCTACGTAACAGAAACGTCGCTCGAGCTAGCTAAAGGAATCTCTAACACTTGTAGGGCTCGATCAGCAAGAACCCGTGGCATCAGTAAAGTGATTCCATCTCTCTTCATATCTCGCTGTTACCAAAGTGCGGGCGCACCGAAAAGCTGCTTGTGAAAATCTCCATAGAAGTGACAAACTGGATGGATTGAATGTCCATTATCTTTGGTAACACAGCACGGTCGATCCCCATTAGGATGCCTTCAGATGATTTGTGGCTTACTGTTGTCATTGAGCAACCCTCAGGCAGCATTTACCTACACAGACTTTGATCTCAATGTACTTACTTGGTTCTTGAAGATGATCATTGGTGAAGATACTGGTTGTGATGGCTAGCGGTGTTGCCAGATGCGTTGATGTAGATCTGAGCTCGGGCAGGAAGTGCGTGCAGGCAAATGAGGCAGGAACGTTTGTTTTGGAAAAAGTAGCAGAACTGACTCTTTCGACCCATTCTCGCCATCAACGGTCGTTGACTCTAACTAGCTTCAAAGCTGAAATAGTATTTAACGTTCTGAACCTGCAGTGCCACTTAACCATCCTCTCTACATGGGTGACAAAAGTAATGAACGACGATGATAGCCGTAATATAGATGGGTGCGATTTTCTCTATAGGCAATATATTGATAGTTAATGGCTATAGAAAATGCGGTACCTTCGCACATGTACAATTCTGAAAGTTAAACGGCACGGAAAACTTCAGTAGAGA